AATAAAATCGGCAAATAAGAAATCTTTGTTGCCTTTTATTTCTCTTGTCGATTACTGATTAAAAGTCTTAATTTACACAATCCTGCAAAAGCAATATAAATTTTCGCACAGTTTAAACAGTGTTAGTATTATTAATTATACATATATATGTATACTTTTACATAGATCTCTGCAAGTTACTTTACATAGTTATACTTGAGTGTTTAGTTATTAACACTTGAAAAGTACAAAATCACATGTAAATATATCTACAATGTTACACACGGCGTGTTTCAATTTCTGCAGGGCACAAGTCAAAGTTACATACATACATATGTGTATATTGAACATACGTATATACAAGATGATTTTATCACTTTATTGTATTCTTATTCTGACCTTGTTATTTTACATGGTCGAATTTTTATTTCTAATTATTTTTATTTATTTAATTCCAAATTGATAATACCACAATTGTCTATCTATTACTTTTCAAAATATGTAATTCTTCTTTTTCAAGCAACGAACGAACGCTACTATACGAACAAGCACGTGGACATTGCCAGTGGCAAGTTTAATAAATGTTTCAGCGACTGCAATATTAGTGCTCTTCCCGAGCTAAGGGATTTCAGGTAACTACAGAAAAAAAAAGGAAAAAAAAAAAAAAAAAAAAAAACACTGAGCAAAACAGATTTGCAAATGCAAATAACGGTTGATAACAGCTTGCCTGAGGGGATTCCTATAGTGTGCTCCTATGGTGTCTGCCGTAGTGTACAGGTGCTGTAACCACAGAACACACTGACGCATCATGCCTTCTACTTATATCTAAGATTTATATGTAGCCTAATAGCACAGAGAACATTTATCAAAAGCTCTGCGACATTTGCAGACTGTAGAGATTAATAGATTCTAACTCTGATTGAAATGTGTCTATAGATTTAATGAATAATCCATCCGCTCATCCGAGCATTTCGCTATTCGCTTTACACCGTACAAAAAAAAAAAAACTAGGAAAGAATTAACAAAGTTTTTTTTCGAGGAACTTGAACATCTAAATCTATAGAACATTCACGTCGTAACAAATATGATTTTTAGTCACTGGTGTCTGAAATGTAGAACGCAAGGATTTCTTCTCAAATCTCAAATTAAAGATGACGTTACTTCCATGATGATTTTATCGTCAATTCATTGCGATGCTATTGTTAGAATTCTAAATTTAACAGCTCTCGCGGAATTAATGAATTCTTGCTCAAGGTAACTTGTATCAAAGTGATCATTTCCGGAAACAACAAATTTTTGAAAAGAACAACAAACGAACTTGGAAGTAACAGAATATTAAAAAAAAAAAATATTAAACAAACAAATGAATCTTCTTGCACTAGAATTTATGAATCGTGCACGAAATTAGTATGCGAAATTTTCCGAATCATCGCGCTCTACATCGCTTGAATTTCCACCACATTTAATTACCCGAGCTTGAGAGCCTGGCCGCCAGCGCGGAGGCCCTCTTCACCCAAGAGAGTGACTTGTTCTTCCTCACGGCTGGGGTCTGCCATCTGCGACACGACACCTCCATGCTCAGCCTGGCAACAGACACATGTCACCTCTCTTTTGCCCTATCTCCCGCTTTTTTTTTTTTTTTTTCTTTTCACTTAAATTTCTCTCTTCGATCTCTTTGTTAACATACTTGTCAAATTCGTCACCAAATCTGTACACGGATGGCGGTTTGTCAAACAAATTTTCCAAGAGGATAAAAAGTGGGACGCTTTCGATGTGTGACTTGCCAATCGAAGATTGATGAAAAGAAAGAATTAAATAAAGAAAATTAAACACGTCAAGATAATAACTTGTATATATTATATATAATACAGGATGTATAAAAAATATTGCGAGAATTATATTTGCTACGATGAAGCGTAAATAAATTCTTCTTGAACAAAGGATTTTTATAGAAAAGCCTACAGAATGAACGAATGCGTACATTAATTTTTAGAAAAAAAAAAAAGAAAAAAATTGAAAACATTTAACCCTTTCGCTACGATTTGTGTCGAAATGCACATTCTATGAATACTTATGTCTGCATAGAACAGCATATTCTACTGGTGACTGCATGGCACGCATATTCTACTTATACGATTGCATTGATAATAATTTTATATATTAAAGTATCTAATATTAATAAGATTACAAGTATAATATTTTTCTATTTTTTAATATTAATAATTTTGATCGTTTTTCAGTAAAAATTATCTTACGAAAATACGAATGTCGGTTTTATTAGAAATATAGTTGTAAACAATTCGTAGTGGTTTCATAATAGTGAAAGGGTTAATTGACTTAATGAAAAGACACGAGTATGCAAAAAATCCACATATTCAGAAAAAATGTCTTCTGACATTGAATTGAACTAATACGAGATGCTGGATCAAAGCATAATGAACGAATATTGTTACAAAATACTCCAAATATCATTTAATTCTATAAATCATAATAATGCATTAAAAACAACGAACAAACTATACACGAATTCTTTACAATATACTAAAATAATATTTAAGCGTCTTCAACAATACAACTGTTACTTTAAATCATCTTCATTTTTCTCAACATAAAATAACAAGAGGACTCGATTGATCTACGAAGTATAAGTTTCTATTTACACAGAAACTTACACAATGTAAAGAACAGAACAATGTAATTATTGCACATGCGATTTTGCATTTTCTTATAGAAAAGTACATCTAAAAAAAAAAAAAAAAAATGAAAATTGATGAAAAAGAATCTCGATAGTTCGTATTTTTTAATTACAGGCATTTTTTTTTCTATCTTTTATTATATTAATTGCACAAAAATTTATCAAATTTTAATTTATAAACCGTCCATGTTGAAACTGTTTATTATCCTAATCGAGCCTAAAAAAGCTCCAATTATTAATTTTTTAAAATATTTAAGTGATTTGAAAGATAGAGATCAACTATAAAAATTTTTTACTATCCATAACTAACAATAAGAAATATTTTGCATATGTATTGTTCAACTGCATTTGAATGATATCTTTTATGAAATTGCTGTGTTTCAATCTTCTGTGATATAAGAGAAAATATTTTATCATAGTAACATGGCTTTACCTTTCTTTTCTTTTACAGAAAATTCTCCCTATGAAATTTGTTGACATGCACATTTCAAATTGACACTCTTTATATACATGTAATACATATTTACAATATTTCACATGCTTCATGCAAAAAAGATTATTGAGTAAGGATATCGCTTTGGATTTTTAAACATAATAATAAACTATCATTCTTTAGTTAACCATATGCATGCTAGTTTGTAATATTCAACATTCCAAGCACCAATTTGATACCCTCTATTAAAAATTGAAAAATATTGTCGAATTCTAATGAAAAATTAATATAAATGATTAAACTATTTGTTGTACAAGTGAAAGATTTCTGTTGTAAAAATAAAATGTTTTGTTAATAAAATTTAATTGCACTTTCAATTGTACAATATACTATCTAATAAGACAATTTATACGTATAATGCAAGTCTAATAAATATAAAAATAATTTTTCTTATATCTGAATTTTTCTTATATTTCAATTAATAAAATTACTAAGAACTTATGACGAGACATATGTATATATAATATGAATATACATATATTTTCTATTAAGTCTCAAAATTGGTTTAAAACTGGTTATATTGCAAATCATTACATATAAAACAATTGTATGTTAATTTCATCAACTACTCCATTAAAATACACAGTTCCTCTGAGAAAGATGATCTCCTTTAAGGAGATTTGTAGGTAGACTAAATTAATTCATAAATACACTTTTTACTTATGTAGCACTGCATATCTTCCAATATATCTACAGCGTATTGTAGCAATTATACAGAGTTCTGCAATTTCTCTCGAGTTTGTGTAAAACAATTGCTTCACAACACATCATCACAATGTTATATTATTGATGCTGAATATTGTGATGCATTTGACAACTTCTTATCAATACATTGTAATATTATTAGAATATTTATTTTAGTACTCTCCCTACTATCTTCCTTAAAGAAGCCATCGATATTACTTCAGGGGCATCCTGCATATATAGATATATACACATACATAAGATATGATGGCTTAATTTTGAAATTCGTGAAAACTAAAATTTCTGAAACTTTTGAAATTTCTTATTGAGTGCAAAATATGTTTCTAATCCAATCATTATTAATGAATGTTATGTACCAACCATAAGACATTTAACAAAACAAACAACAAAAATATGTTGGAAACTCATTGAATTTTTTTTTTGTGAAAATAAGGGAATATAAAGGACACAGGGAGATAGGGCTTATAGAGTGACTTGTGTCCTTTGCAATTCTGCAATTTGGTTAGTTGGCAACACTAACACATTAATATTCCTAAAATCACTCAATAGTATCATTAGTAATACAAGACAAAAACAGCTTAATATCCATAGCATTAGAATTCTTGTTGTTTTCATGACTATCGCTTTGTGTTTGCTAAAACAATCTTATTTTCATTACACAAAATTGCAAAGCAATTATAACAGATGATATCAATGGTCAAACACAAATTACACAACTTTCATTATCATGCATTTTATTCTGCTCCAAAACCATTTCTCTTTTAATGAATAATTTTGTTTCCACATTTGTACAATTCAGCAAAAATTACCAAAAAAGCATTTTTCTTTTTATATGAATATTTATCTATAGAAAGTTACCAATCCTATAGTAGTAGTAAGTTAAATATCAATTTATGAACTAAGTAAGTTAGATATCAAAACTTCATGAATTAATAATTATAGTATTTAAAATAGTAGGATATTGTTTTTCTTAAGCATTACACGATAAGCGAAATTTATCGTATACAAGTGAATATCATCAATATATGATTTATTATAATAATATAACATCACATACAACGTTTGATTATGAAATTATTCGTACTAGTTGAAGCATTATACTTATGTAAACTAATGTTAAAACATATTAATTGGAAAAAAATTTTATACATACCAAAGTACTGCCACGCATTAATATACTAAACCCTTATAAAGATTATTCAGATTTAGATAATATTTAGATAAATTAAAAAATCATATGTAAAACGAAATTTTTAAATGATAAAAATTAACAAAAAGTAACAGCTTAAGTCTCACGTGTGTTTATATAGTGTCAAAAAGCAAAAGCTCATTGAACCTTAATTTATATTTCTTTAGATAAATTGTCTCATTGTCAGTCTTGTATGGAAGATGAAAATTATTAGTTATAATGTGTGAATAGGTAATAAAAAGCTCAATCTCTTACAAATAAATATACTGATATATAAATATTAATATGTGAATAACAAAATATCGATTTTTAAGAAATTATTCATAACTTCATACAAACTTAATGTAATTTGTTTTACTCTCATTTATCATTAATATATATTTTTAATAATATTAGTTAAGCAAATATGTATTCGTATGTTCATAGTGTATTGTTTTAACGTGTGTTTGGAATCTCGTATGTTCCTCCGAATATAATAATACCATAAACGGAATAATAGTCTTCAAATTATCCATTCCTCTTGGAATGAAAAGTTCCAAACGAAAGCTATTATTTACAAAATTTCATTGACATAATTTCAGTTACGTGCCCCTCTTTGTATTCTGTATATTAATATAACATATATGTGTTTGTTATAATATATAATTGAACGCGTAATAACAATAATTGTGATAATATTTGTCTCGTTTATATATATTCGTTTCTCGTGCATGTTAAGAAAAAAAAAAAAAAAAAAAAAAAATGCAATATTATATAATGCTATGTAATACTAGCTACGGTATACTTCACGCTCGAGATAAGTTTTAGAAAAAAAGCGTTCTTACCTCGTCGAAGAAAACTTGCGTTTTTCTAAGTATGTGCTTCAACTCGGTCAGTTCCAAGAAGTTACGTTTAAGTGTTTCCGCATTCTGGTTCACTTCTCGTAGTTCGTTTTCTAATTTTTCAAACGTTGCTTCAAGATCTATCATCTCCCTGGGTTGCGGAGCCTCGGGATTCTCCCCAGTGTCGAGCATTGGTATACCGTCCTTCTTAATTTCTTTCTCCAGGTATCGCAGCTTACGTTCCATTTCGTCGCAACGACGTACCTCGTTAACGAACTTTCGTTGGAAGGCATTAACATCGGGATTGAGCTATAAAGAATAATTTCAATGTTTTGTGTGTATATATATATATATATATATATATCTGTATTTTGCGTCACTTATTTAAATTATTAAAAATTTTTCCTTTCAAATTATGAAGAATTCTATTATATCGACTGTAGGACCAAATTTTCGTTTTACGTCTCATTCAAATTTACTTTACTTCGTGTCTTTATTTAGCACGAAATAATCCGGTTGAATTCGTGTCTGGGTCTTATTTTAATCTTTAAATATCCTATTGACGTTGATTATTTATATAATAAAAAAAATTCATTCCTTCATTTAACGCATTTAACGGGTAAAAATTTCATTCTCTACACGTCTGTAACTTTAAGAATGTCTGGATTAATGAAAATAATTAATATCTTTTGCTATATCTTACTATATCTTCCTTTAGATTATATTGGCAATGTTTACAAATATCGATAAAAATAGAAATAATCGGTTCGTAATCCGCATAATCAGTTTTTTATCAGACAAATTTTTAAAACTGTTTTGTTCAAAGACAAAAGTTCGCATGAATTCATTCCTTTTCTGTTTATTATTCACGTAAAATTATCCAATTTTTTGTTCTATAATAAATCACGCTGTATTTTGCACGATTAAATTTGAATTATCATTCGCGATTCTCTACTTTATCGATAATAGGCTAATAAGAAAATACATATATCGTAATTATTAACATTTTTTTTTTTTTCATTTAAATTGTACAAAATATTTCATCAATTTCTTTATCAAAGACAAAAAAAACGTGATCCTTGCAAATTTTATTTTTGTAATTATATTTATGTGACTCTAAATCAATAATTAAGAACTAAACATGTAATTAAATCAAATCTATACATCCGTTTCATCCACTAACTTAATTTCTCATTTTAACGTCAAACATTGTAATATTATTTTCCAATCATGAAATAGAAAATACTACATTAGCAAGGCCAAGCCATTTGAATCAACTTTTTTTTTTCTTAAGGAAAAGTAACATCATATATACAAATCTAGTAATTTTATATAAAAACTAACAATTATTTGCATCAAACGATATGCATTATAAAAATTGTTCCTGATAACATAAACCTTAAAGTATGACTTAAGCAGAATATTTGCAAAAGTATGACAGGCAGAATATGACAAAATACTATTAATTCTTTGATAAACATTCTGTTCAATGCATTTGTCTATTAATTTAAGAATCGAATATTTTTCATGGAAATGGGATAAAAAGATCTTGAGAGTATCTTGTATCACACTACAGTAAAAATGCACTTACATCTCGAAATTGTACGAGACCAAGTTCGCCAAGTTCCGAGACACAGGCATAAGCTGCTTCACTTTGTAAAAAGAGTTGACACAAGGTCATCTCCTCGCTCCGAAAAAGCGATCCCATATTTGATTCCGACAAGAGCCAATATTTTTAGGTTAAAACAATCACAAGCGTTGCGACGAACGAAACTCTTTAATTCCGTATCGAAAGGAATCAAATAGATTTACTACTTAGAATTCACACTTAGTTCCAACACGATTGGCTTCCACTAATCATTTAACTGGCCCACGAACTTTCCGATTTCGATTGCAGAAGTAATCAATAGTCACGAGGTAAGACGGGCATAAATCATAAATCGAAAGTACGTCGCCATTCGCATTTCTAGTTAACACCCAGAAACTACTCTAGCGACAGTTCGAAGATATTTTCATGCGGGAAAAATTAATAAGATAGAGAGCTATTGTTTGCCACGGTGTTGAATTTAACGAAATTCAACAAATTAGCATTAAATAAAATTAGAAAATAAAAATTCAAAGATAGAAAGATTCTAAAACAATTTTCTTTATTTCTCACAAGATAAATGTGAAAGCAAGTGTTCTATGTTATCTACATGTCGTTTTTACTAGGAGTATATAGTTTGCGCAGTTATTATGTGGCAGCACATGTACCAACCATTGAACCTTCTATTACGTTAATGTCATATGATCAGTTTGCAAATTGATATTGAATTCAAGGGAGTGTCTTGATTTTATGGTAGTACCTGTTTAAAATAAACATGTTCAAATTATTTTTGTGCTTTGTAGCTGCGTTAGTTGCAGGTATGAATTTCATGTTAAATGATACTTAAGTCCAGTTTTGTATTCAATTAATTAACAAGCCTCAGACATTATCATTACTGTCCTCTATTGTTACAGTCAAAGCAAGTGGAGATTTTGTAGTACTACACAGTCCAAATAGCGTTATATTCAATGGGAATGAAGAAGTGGAGCAAAGCTTACTAAAGGAAGTATTAGCTGCTGCCCTAGGCTTCACAGTCAAACTGGTATATCTTTAAATGTTTTTTCATATTTCTACGTCTAGTAATATTCTAGATTCTAGTCGAAAGAGCATAAAAGAAGTTAACAAACTGAATGTAGAATTGTACTGTTAGAGACTGCAAAATGTACAGCTTATGATAATTAATATTTTAATTGGGTATTATAATTTTTATTATTACAGAGAGGAATATGGAGCGGCATTTCTATCACTGATCCATTTAAATTACCAGAAGCGGTTGTTGCAGTAGTGATAGAAGGAGTGGATTCTTTGGATATACCAAAAGGGAAAAGGTTTCCTTTAAATGTAAATGAAGTTGAGGAAACTACTTGGCAGGCTCTTAGAGAACGTTTAGAAGAAAGAGACAACGATAATACTTTAGTGAGGATATCATTGGGCGATGGTTTAGATGCTGTAAGTGTTAATTTTAACAAAATAACAAATGTCCTTAGTGAAATTATTTGTGTACAAAAGTTGAAATTAAAACAATTTCCATTTAATGTAAATTTAGCTGGGACAGTCGGCTCTTGGAGAATTAAAACCCACTCCCATTGATGAAACATCTTTAAGATCTTTAAGTTTAAGAAAAGAGGAGGACAAAAAATTCCTTGAAGAAGTACAATTGCTTCATGCTATTGCCAAAAAAGCACCGTCAGCAATCAAACCAGATTCGAAGTCTGATATTTATTGGCTTGTTATATCTAGTTTGCGCCCCATTTTTGATACTTATGGAAGTAATTCAACTACATCTAGAGAAGCTCTGTCGTTGTTTGATAATGCTCTGAATGTTATTCACGATGCATTTATTCAAGCTTATGATGGTCAGGTAAGAATCTATTAGAATATTTTAATTTGTAAACTTTATTAATATGCAGATGTATTGCTTTTACTATTATGTGATGCAATAAAATGGAAATGTATGAAGAAATGTTTAAATATTTTTATCTAGGTATTAATTGTGGCATTCACGAACGATGCAAGTAAGGTACATCATATCCGTTCAGTAACTCTAGAAAGGCAAAAACGGGATACTTCAGATACGGTTTGTATTTAAAATTATATATGATTTATAAGGTATACTCATAATTATATACAGAAAGAAACGAGTGAAATACACTATACGAAATTCATTCCAATTGATTTTTTCAAACTTCCAATATTACGAGATATTAATTTTTTATGTTAATTTTTTTTATTATTAGAAAACAACTTTTTTCGAGTCAGAGATCGTAAAAAAATTAGCACTGAAAATTAATAGTTTGTATACGACTTTACAAATTGAAAAAGTTTGAAAAAGAATCAATTAAAAATAATTTTACATGTTTGTTAAATTTGTAATTAAACGATACTTTAGAAAATTTAGAAAAAAAGAAAATTAAATACTTCAGAGTAAGTGTATGCATTTATCCAAATACATTTTTCATAAAATATTACAGTTAATAGATCATGCATATTCGTGTATAACATTTCGTGTATAACATTTAGCAATATTGATGCTACAAATGTATTATGAGCAAATAAATAAAGTATATAGAATAAATTTTTTTTATATAAATACTACTTTTATGATTTAAGATTTGTAAAAAAAAGAGAATATTAAGTTACTTCCATTTAGTATTTAATTAATACTTTTGATAATCTGGAAAAGTTATATTATGATTCTAAGTTAAGTAAGAAAAACATTTGTACGAAATAAAATAATATCATCAAAATGAATATTATCTTTGTTTTCAGACATGATTCAATTTACAAAAGTGTATTATAGAACTTCAATTTACATTTGCATGAAAAATCAATTTATATGCATTTGTACTATCAATGCTGCCATATTCTATAACTATTTATTTATTTAATGAAACAATTGTTTGCATTTATAATGTATATTAATATCATCTAATATAAACTAAATAGCAATTTCATAAAAGGATCTGAACAATATTTTATGTATATAGTTTTTGTAATATATCTGATATATTATATTCTAGCTTTTGAAGAAGCTGCTGATAAAGGTGGCAGATTGGATCTACCTTTCTTTAAGATACTGTACTTATCCTACTTATTTGTTGGGTTGGACATAAAGAAAATTTGTTGATAAAATACTATCAGGGTCACAGTATTAGGATATTTAAATATATGATTATTTATAACACATTCGAAACTAGCTATCTTACATGTAGAAACTGAACATTATGATAAGAAGATTTCAAAATGTCTCTGATTAATGTTTTTAATTTAATGTGATTAATACACATTCACATTACAAGCACAATAAAAGTTATGTTAGAATATACGATGAGTATGTCTAACACCTATATATTTTATAGGCTAATAGAACTAAATATCTAGAATTTATTTCGGCCAATAATAATTATAATCATAATTTGATAAAGGTCTGTTCATACCGTTGCATGAACAAATATTGTGCTGAAACTCAACAAGTATACAAAAATAGGGATAGCTTCTTGCATGATTTTTAAACGTGCTAACGAACAGAATGCAGACAATATTTCCAATTCAATTCAATTTCAAAACATTTCTTTGGTATGTTAGATTACCAAGGAATATTCAACATTCGACTTTACTACTACAGTATATACAAAAACATAAATCTAAAATTAATATATAATACATCTCAACAAGCAGAGCACAATATTCAGATTATCAATTTTACTCAAATCTTACAAATTTCAGTTGAACTTTGTTTAATTTTTCATCGCGACCACTGATGGTCGCCATTAGTAATTCCTTGAAGTTATTAGAAGAGGGGCAATGTCGTCAAGCCTTGTGGTGATTATTACTGTGGTGATTAGTAGTTGACATTCTTGTTTACTCTGATGTTATTAATTGTTATTAATTGATGTTATTAATTGATTTCTCGATTGAACAATTGACAATTCATTCACCAGATGATGAATAAACATGGCTTCCATCAGTGGTCAGTACAAGCGATCAATGATCATTGAACGAACAAATTCAATATTATCTCTTTGTTTTTTTTTTTTTTTTCAACTCCGTTGTCGAAATGAGAACGAGAAGTTTCTGTTGGTTACGTGATGCCTAACACGGCATCAGGAAATAACGTAATAGGAAAGAAACATAAGAAGAAAGACTCGGACGAAAGACGATAGTACTCTAAAGTGAAACGAAAATGAGAAAATTGATTCTTTTATTTCTATTAGCTTCGTTTCATGGTTTAAGAACTAACGACTAGCTAGTCTTTTGTTGCTGCATTATAAAAAAAAAAAAAAAAAAAAATTCATACAAGATTAGAATTTGTAACAATTAACATATATAGGTCGTGGTTGAGTCGCCGACCGATTGAAACAAAGAAATCAGAAAATAATGTTCAACATTTTGTCAAGAGGCAGAATATCATGTTAATATAAATTTTCACAGTAGTCGTCACAGATTCCAGCACTTGATTGGAAATTCTCACTTCGCACGAAATGTTCAGATAACAATAATATGATCAAACATGTAGAGAGTCCGGCAAGATCGGCAACTACTGTGACTACCAACTAAGTTAGATTTGGATTATTTTTGAGTTATGCAACAATATGTTGCTCACATGAAACACGTGTACTTGTAGCAAGATGATCAACGTGATGAAAAGAAAAGCATAGAAGACGAAGAGGATTCGAATACAAATAATAATAAGACTAGCATACCCCACAGTGACATGAAAAACTCGACTGCGAATAACGATACACGTGGTGATAGTGGAAATCAGGATTTGACTAATATGGAGCATAAAACATATCCCGACATACAAAGTATAGGACAGGTATCACAAAAACCCCTTAACATGCATTCTAAAGTTTTAATTTGCATATTATTTGACAATTGACGCATTTTTATCAAACGAGAATTAGGGATACGCTTATTGGAGGAATGTTCGATATATCCCCGTTTTATTTTAGCGATATGTATATATATTTCAGTGTAAAAAAAAAAAAAAAAAAAAGAAAAAGAAAAAAAAATTCTTTAGCTTTTATATTTTGTTAGCATACAGATTCTTCCGAACATTTTATTTCATAGTTAAATTGCGTATGATTTCGAACAAGAATACATCTTATTTTGATAGAGTATATATCTTGTATATTGACGAAGCAAGCATATCGAGATATCAACGAAACGTGGAGCAAAAAATTAAAAATTGAAAGAATTCGAGTAGAACTTTAGGGCATGCCGGTGGCAACGAGTGCCAAAAATCTACGAAACAGGCTACGAAATACGTTGTCTTCCGTGGAAAAAAAAAAAAA